GAGAAAAATATTTCTTAGTTCACATTAGTTTTCTATTGTCAGAATTAACCCTTACCTTAGAGCTCACACTCATCACAGACTTTGTGATAACCTCTAGAGTTATCAAAGTATGGATGCAAAAGGGATGCTAACCTTTTCACAGAGTGTTGTACTCTGTGCACATATCCACTTCCTCCCAAACATCACCGTGGTTTAGGAGAAAGGGAGTAATAGCTTTTGTGTCAGGCACACTCAGGTTTGAATTCCTGCATAAAACACAAAACTAGCTCTGTGGCATTATGCAAATTCCTCATAAATGAAACAAAGAAAGTATCTGTCTTCAAAGATTATTAGGTAAAATAGAAACAGCTTCTGTAAAGTGCCTACCACAGTGTCTAGGCTACATCAATATTACCAATATTTATTGCACTTTTACCAATTGTAATTTTATATGATAAACTATGAACTGGTAATTAAAAGTAAAACCTTATTAAAATTTAAATGGAGAATATTTGTGACATATTTACTTTATTTTCATAACATGTTTATAGCTCCATTCTAAAATAGGTATGCAGTAAAATAGGAAGACAACATAACATAGTTAGGTTTGTGGCTCCAGAGACTTGGGTTCAGATTCCATCTCTACTGCTTCCTAGCTTTTGCGCTTGGGCAAATTAATTAATCTCTTTTAAGCTTTATTTCTGCATCATAAGATGGGGCTCCTATAAAGTCATTCTAAAGGGAAACATGAGACACTGCAGTTTCATCATCAAGCACATTTTCTAGTACACTTTAAGTGCACAATGCACTCTAACCATTTATTTAATTTCCTCACACAGTTTAAATCCAAAAACAGTCTAACTATTATTATTAGTGATTTTTATCAACTTTCCTACAAATTGACTTTGCATACTTACTGTTCTTAAGGAAGGAGAATAAATTTGGTTACTTCATGATAGATAGATGTTTATAATACATATACAGTACCATATCTCCTGAAGGAGATTTCAATTTTGGATATGTTAAATATTAAAACAAAGCTATGATCATTGCAAAACCAACAGCACACTGTTTTCTACCAACAGATAGAGATCTACATCACACACAGCCACTTGTAAAGTCCCTGCCAACATGAGCCAACATAAGGCTCATTACGTGCATGATGTGTCCATTGTTTTTAAGTGGTATTGAAGATGAGACCCATCAGGCTTATTAAATGCAAACACAATGACAGTGTTGAAAGATTTAATAACCAAAGGAATTGGAATGTTATGGAAACCAAAGCAGAAATTTTTAAAAAAAGCATAAAAGAATGTGGCAAGTGCATGAAAGATAAATCATCTGACAGTAGAAATGATTAGGTCTGAGCGGGGTTATACAAGTAGCTTAAAAATGCTGAACCTAGGTAAAAGCAAGAAAGATGCAAAGAAAAAGAATTAAGGGAAAATAGCCTAGCATAGGTCAGACGATGTTTCTTCAATAGCAATGGATGCTCCCGAACTGAATTTTAAAGCAAGAGAAGGAAAGGTACTTGCTTAGGAAGGTAAAATCCAAGCATGGTGACAGCTTCTGCTGAAACATTCCTGACAGGCCAAGAATGGTTCAATAGACTCAAGGTGCTCTCGTTCACTATCACAACAAGGGCGTTGAATGGCATGCACACCAAGGGATTCTTAGAAATATTTGTGGATTTTATCAAGGAAAGTTGTCACCTACTTAAAAGGTTTTTGGTTTAGATATTCTTTTAGAATATATATTGGCAGAGGAAGGAGGTACCTGGTTTTATTATAAAGAAACAACTTATTTAGTTGAAATTCATCTAAGGATGCTAAAGACTATGGAATAAAACACATGAACTTGCAAACAAGTCTTTTGCAAACTAACATGTTCATAAATAGAAATTTCCTGTGTTTCATCTTTCTCTGCTCTTTCATGGACATACCAGCTATAATTGTGGCAAGGCATTTAATAGGTTTGACCTTAGTCTGGTGCTAAGATAACACCCATTTAATACTATTTAAAATGTATTCTTTTTAGAGGCTATAGTTTAAAAGGTATTCAGAAGATAAAGGGTACAGATATTTTTTTAAATGGGTGAATTGCATGATAGTATTTCTTACTTTCTACAATTCAGAGACAAGATATTCAGAATCTCAGATGTAAACAGGCTTAGAATCATGAAGAAAATTCCAGATTAGATGGTTGCCACAAAGTAAGAAGTAAATGGGAAGAAAATAATTCCCATCCTTCCTCAGATTTATATTCCAGTGTATTCTGACCTCAAGACTTGGATTCTGAGGTAAGATGGGTGTTTAGGAAAAAGAATATCCAACAATTCAATGGCAAAGGTGCCTAACTTTTATTTACAGGCTTTAACTGTTTCAACTATTGTTCTAATTAATGCATTGAATTGTTTATAAACAAAATATATTCATATGTCTTATGTTCATGACAATATATACCATACTCAGAGACCTAGAGTTTCCATAAATAGTCACCATTTTCATTTGCTGGTAGCTACCCATGGGAAAAAGTGCTGCCTATGGATGTAACCTCTACAAGGACTGTCTAATGGGCCAAGACATTTTTGGGATACAATCTCTAACCTCCAAACTTCAGTTCTCAGTAATTCTTCTAAAATTCTTCTAAAATTCTTCTAAAAACACTTCTAGCACAATTGATTGAAACATTAGTGTCTTCACTAATTTTGACTAAGGGCAAAGGAGATTTCTGAACTTGTTTTGTTAAAATAAATAAAAAATTTAAACAGTAGAAGTCAGATTTACTAAACATGTAATGACATAAGATAGTCTTTCTTTTTCATTCAATCATTCATTTGCTCACTCACTGCAGCATTATTTAGTACCCACACCATGCAAAACATTGTGCTTGAGTCAGAGGTGATCACCTTGGCAGCAGGTAGAATTCTTGCTACATTAATCATATCATCTATTCTATATTCTAATCATCATATAATCAATCATATATTCTAATTCCTAGGACAGAATATAAAGAGTTTTTAATTTATTAATTAGTTAGCAAGGAATCAGAATTCTTACACTATATACGATGTGACCAAACACAAACATTTTTAATAACAAGGTTGGTCAAAAGGATGAATGAACCCCATCAGACGCTAGGAAAATATGAATATATAATATTCTTTCCACATCAGGAATCCCCTTAAGTTGCTAGTATACGCTTCAAACAGTTCAAGAATGTTAACCCTAGCATACAAAAGGTATGAGATATGGTTATTGAAGGGGAAGGTAAATGCTCAGAGTAAGAAACATTTGAGCTAAAAACCAGACCTCCAGGAGTGATGCATGAGAGGAAGTTGGAGACTGTTAGACTCTGTAATGTCTACAGTAATAGAAAAAAATCCTAAGAGCTAAAACTATAATAAGAAAACATTGGGAAAAAAACTGCAGGATGTTGGATTTAAAATGAGTTCTTAGATATGGCTCCAATGCATAGGCAAGAACAAATAGATAAATTGTATTTTATCAAAGTTACAAATTTCTGTGTATCAAAAGGCACTATTAGAAAATGAAAAGGCATCTCAGAGAACTTTTAAACTATTTTTAAATCATATCTGATAAAGGATTAATATCCACAATATATAAAGGACTCCCTCAACTCAAGAACAACAACAAAAACTAACAAACCTATTAAAAATGCACAAAGGACTGGAATAGACATTTTTTCAAAGAAGATATATGAATGGGCAATAAGCTCATGAACATATATTCAATCTCACTAATCATTAGGGAAAGGTAAATCCAGATGACAAGGAGATGACACTTCATTCCCAATAGGATGGCTACCATAAAAAAAAAGAGAAAAAAGTGTAAGTGGAGGTATTGAAAACTGGAATCCTTATTCATTGCTGGTGGGAATACAAAATAGTGTCGCTGCTGTAGAAAATGGTAGAACAGTTCTTCAAAAAAAATTAAACACAGAATTATTATATGATCCAGCAATTCTAATTATGGGTATATACCCAAAAGAATTAGAACCAGGGGGATGGGATCCAGTGAAAAAAATAAAGCACACTTCATCCCCTTCCAGTTTGTTCCATGCCCACCAGTGTTAAATTGGCTCATCATACAGACCTCTAGACAGAATTAGCAATCTTTCTAAATTAACCGAAGGCCCTCATCTTCTACTAATTTCTACCTTGCTCTCTGCATTTCAGCCACATGGATTTCCTTGCTGCTCTATAAACACATCAGATATGTCACAGGGCTGCTGCAATTTAAGATCTTGGTGACTGGAGTGATTTTTCTGTTGCATAGCTAGATCCCTCACTTCCTTACCTCCTTCTGGTCTCTGCTCAAATATCACTACTTAAAAGGCCTTTCTTTGTTGCTTTTAGTTTTATATCCCATACTTGAATGAAATCATATGGTTCTTGGCTTTCTGTCTGACTTATTTTGCTGAGTGTGATATTCTCGAGATCCATTCCTGTTGTCTCAAATGACAGCATGTCATCTCTTCTTATGCCTCAGTAGTATTCCATTATACATGTGTACCACATCTTCATTATCCAATTATCTGCCTAAGCACACTTTTGTTATTTTTAAGTCTTGGCCACCATGAATAATGCTGCAATGAACATAAGGGAGCATATATCGTTGCAAATAAATGTTTTCAAATTTGGGGGGTACCATAGATACCCAGAAGAAGCATTGCTCAGTCATAAGGTAACTCTATTCTTAATTTTTTGAGGAACCTCCAAAACTGAAAGCAGTACATGAACAAAAAAGACAAACAAACAAACAAAAATACAGAGACAACAGTATGCTGATCATCAGAAGGAAGGGGGTGGAGGGTAGTGAAGGATAGAAGGGGTTTTGTGTGTGGTGACAAAAAGACTGTTAACTTTGGGTGATGAGCGCACAATGCAAAATACAGATGATGTATTGTAGAATTGTACATGCAAAACCTGCATAATTTTATTAAGCAATGTCACACCAATAAATTTAATAAAAATAAATTTTAAGAAGGTAAAAAATAAAAAAGTTTTTTAACCACCCTTATTAAATAATGCTTTTTTCCCTCAACTCTCCCTGTCCTGTTCTATGTTTCTGGACAACATACATTATAATACAAGGACAGATGATGGTAAGTATTTATTTATTTACTCATTATCTTTTCCCAAACTTGCATGAAGTTCCACGTTTTGTTCCCTGCTGTACCTACAGTGTCTACAATAGTGCCTGAGTAGCTTCTCAATAAATATTTGCTGAAGGAAGGGAGTGAATAAAGGAGGAGGGAAGGAAAGAAGGAATCACTGTTAAATTTCATAAAACATGAATGCTGAGAATAGTAATGCTAAAAGTTCTGGAAGCTGATCTGGAGCAACTCAGCATTGCTTTACCACTACTCTTGGGATCTCTGCCAGGTTCTTCCTTCCCACAAACCTCAATGGCATTGATAGCACTTGGATTCCAATATCTGACCTACACATTTTGGAAGCCAACCAGTTAGGGCTTAATGACTGATGACCAGGTCAAGACAAATCAGTTGGGAATTTTCAATTCTCACTTTTTTAAAAACTATCTGACTGCAATCCACCTCTTAACCAAATACTCTGACAGATAACTCCCAGGGAAGGGCTTGGGCTTCAGCCTTTGCAATGCTCAAATCAAGTAAATGCTAAAATATTTTGGCTTTTTTATACAAAGAAGACTAAATGTCATCTAGAATTAATGAACCCAAGCTGTGTCAGAAAATAAGCAGGAGTGCTGTTCATTCCTGAGTGAGAATTAAGATATATGACTGTTTCATCCGGACCTAGTAATGAAAGAAAGCTAGGCTTGAGAAGCATAAATTATTAACTTTTTGTTGAGTTATTCCCCCTACATTCTTAGAAGGTAAGTTTCAGTGCAAAGGAACCATTTTTAATAGGCTGGGCATATATAGTTGTGCAATGATTGATTCATTTATTCAGCAGCTATGGAGTAAGAATGACTGCATGCAAGATACCATGAAGGGATGTCAACGTGAATGAGCTATGGTCTCTTCCCTTAAAACCTTAACAGTCTAGTACAGCAATTTTTCAACCTTTTTTTGTGTCATGGACATATAAACCAATTACTAAAATTTTGCGGCACACCAGAAAATATATGTTTTGCCAAACTGACAAAAAAGATATAATTTTGATTCATTCCCACAGGACAGCTATTGTTGTGCTGGCTGTTGTTATTTTTTTATTTGACAATCAAAGGGAAAGAGGTCAGTGTCCCCTGACTAAATAGTCAGGTATCACACGTTTTAAAAATTCTGGTGGTGCACCAGTGTGCCACATGCAGCACACTGACTGCAAATCACAGGTCTAGTAGACAAGCTGTCAATCCACAAACATTAGAACATTTTGAGATATATCATAGAACTCAGGGCTCCAATTTCCTATGTTCTTTTAATATATATTTTATATAATAGATATTAAAAAAGTCACTTGTATTAGAAAATTATTATAAGTGTAATGTAAATTAGCTTTCAAAATTGTTTTAGAACCCTTGAGTAAATTCCTTGAATCATTGATATTAAAGAAATACTTTAATGACATAAATAGTTGACTTTTTGTGACTATGATTTAGGTTATATTTAAGTGTATCAATTTGTGGTACCAAGAATATTTGTACTCTTCTAATTAAGACTTTCTATACTCTTAATTTCTAGGACATGAACATATTCAAGGTGAATATTTAAATGACATTTCATCTTTGTCTTTCTTGTTCTTGTATTTTAACTACATAGTTTGCTGTATTTAATTACAAATGTAGACTACTTCAGCTCCATTATGGGCAGAAGGCTTTTGTGGAATCCTTGGAAAAATAATCACTGGGTATACCTGTGTGGGTTATGTACAAGTATTGATATGTTGTTGGAATAAGATTTTCTTTCCTTTAAAAAGAATGTATATGTTCCTCAGGTCTAGTAATCACTGTGAGTCTTTGGGGATGTAACTTCTGAGCATTAGCATTCTCACTTCAAAGGGTGGTTGTGGGCTTTAAAAGAAACAATTGAGGACAATGGTAGGGGACTGACCATGGGAGTGAGGGGGGATGGGGCAGGGTAGAGTAGTGGGGAAAAGGGCAGGACAACTGTGACTGAGCAACAATAAAAAACAAATAAATAAATAGACTAAGACTGCCAAAAAAAGAGAGAAGCATTTGCAAATCCCTGAATGTATTGCTTGGTGAAAATAATACCACCATATTTGAAGCTGTTAAATTAATGATCTTATCAGTAATATTAACAAGATGTTATTGTCCATAATATTAACTGTGTTGTCTGTATTTTCTTTCATGGCAGCACACCTGTTACATATTCATTTTTTGTCTTCCTGATATTTCCTTGGCCCACCTCTTGCAATACATAGCTGTTTAGTCTTTGTAACTAAAGAAGAATTGTGGATTGATAAAGAAAACAAATAAAAGTGATTTAATTATTACCCTTAATTCGATTATTGCTTTATAAGATTCTGATTTTTGTAAATGTGTTACCAATGAAATACAGCAAATGAATGGACATATTGGCAAATATTTCCCTCAGGCTCAGCCATCCTATTTGCTGACTTAAAAATTCAGAGTTATATTCTCAATGACTGAATAACTACAGTAAGCTGGATTTCATACATAACTGGAAAATTGTATGATATGTTATTTTTAAAAATTTCCTATAAAAGTAAATATTAGTTGTAAGACATACTAGTAGAACAACTGGGACATCATCTCCACTCTACTGTTCTCCATTGATAAAAATTCTGTTGGATTAGGTTCCAAATGTAAGAATAATATATTTGTATAGATAAAAAATTCTTGATTTTTAAACACCTCTCCCATATTTTCCTATGGATAAATTTTTAGATACTTCATATAAACTATTTGTAATAGCTTATAACTGACAACTTTAGTAAGAAAGTGTTATAAAAAGTTCGAAATGGAATGGTGCCATATCAACATGTATAACTGTCTTTAAAAATAGGGAAACTGCTTTATTAGTATTCATTGAAATAGGTTGAAAAGTAAAAGTAACAACAATAAAGTCGAAATGCTGTACCATTTGTATTTACCTGAGTTACCAATTGTTACCTGCAATTACTGAAAACTTATTTATCATGAGACATTAAAATGGCTTTTTTAGTGTGTATGTGTATATTTAATTTAATTTGTACAGATACCCTTAGAAATAGACACCATGTATTTCACAATGAAGTTACACTTGAGAGGTTAAAGTACTTGACTAAGACCACTATACAATAAGAATATAATTTTATTTCTCAGTGCTTTAACACTTTATAAAATATTTACAAACATTCTGAAGTACAGTATGGACAGAATATGAATTTTAAAAGAGCTTCTCTGCATAACCATTCATCTGGGAAAGTCTGTTGGATGATCTCATGGGATGGTAAGAACCTCGCTACCAGCTGACCCCTGAGGGTCCCATGTCCTTTCACGCTACCTAAACTACCATGAGCCAGGTTTATCCAGGGTACAAGGAACATATATGTTAAGGGGAGAAAATTATCACTTAAACTTTGTTATTTTATTCCATGAAAAGATCATCTATAAAGATTGTCATGCAATATTTACTGAAGTGGAATGTTAACTTCATATTATCACCCAGAGAAAGTGAAGGCATAATTTACCAATAAAATAATCTATTTATCCTATTCAAAATGTAGATCAGTTAATAAATTATCTTTATGCCACTGAACTTAAAAAAATAATCATTGTTGAGTTTAAATTAATACATAAAGGGGTATCTCATCAAGTAACATTTATTTCACTTCCCTCTGTTTAACTTTTCCGTGTGGATTTAAGTATCTACATATACTTCTTTTTTAAATTTGTAAATTATAGGTCTTTAAGATGATGTATTTTTAAACAATTACATGATATGTTTTTGTTTTACTTTTTATTGTATTTTGTCCATTTGTTGGGAACTGCCCTGCCTGGTTTCAGAAGCTGTAACCCCCTCATTGCTAAGGCTGAGCAACCTTTGGATCATAAGCCACTAAGGAGACAAAGCTTATCTCCTCGGCAGGGGCACCACCTCTGCTCCTTTTACTTCACCCTGCCTGGCTCCCAATGCTTGATCAGTTAGCCAATGATGGATAAGATTCCTCAAGGGAGCAATGATCTAAGACAGGCACGATCATGGGGGGCCCTCAGAGAAGGACTTGGGGGGGGGGGCTATAGCAAAAGGGGGTGATGGACCCTCACCCCTCAGCTTTGACATAGCCTGAGTCCTCATTCTGTCTTTGAGGAGTCTCCTAATCTCTTGGCTCCCTTACTTCCCCTGCCTGATTTAAGCCTGAAATAATGACAGAGGGCAGTGCAGCCCTGTGCTGGAAAAGGCAGGTTCCCTGGGTGATCAGGCCTAGGAAAGAATACATAAAATCCTGTGAAACCTGCTTTGCTAAGAATGCTCTCAATAAAATTATAAGGGTCTAAGCAGGAAATGAGTTTGTTTCCCAAAGTTTTGTAGCCCTGTAGCTAACAGACCCTGACTCAGAATAAGCCTTATTAGTTCTTTCTTTGCTATCTATTGTTTGATCCTTACTGCCTGACAATGATTGATGAACTGTATTCTTGTGCAAAATGAACCTAATAAAAGCTTATCAAGGCAAGGGTTGGCACCCTCTCCTCTTGAGAGACTGGCCAGGCCACTCCAAGGCACTCTCCCCTTGAGAGAGTAGCCATGCCATCCCTTTTCTGCCATAGGACTCGGTAGTCCATGTGAATGTATCTTATCTCATCCATAACGCTGTGGACACTGTGGGCCAGTGTCTGCGTCGTCTATTACCATTTAGTCCCCCTTTACATCCCCAACTCCGCAATCACCGCACTGTTGTCCGTGAGTCCTTTTTTCCTTTTTGCTCAATCCCTCCACGTCCTACCCCCCATTAGTTGTCATACTGCTCTCTATTTATGAATCTATCTCTATTTTGCTTGTTAGTTCAGTTTGTTCACTAGATTCCACTTATGAGTGAAATCATATGGTATTTGTCTTTCTCTGACTGGCTTATTTCACTTATTTCACTTATATGATCTCCAAGTCCATCCAGAATGTTGCAAAATGTAAAATTTTCTTCTTTTTTACATCTGAGTAGTATTCCATTGTGTAAATGTCCCATAGTTGCTTTATCTACTCATCTACAGATGGACACTTGTGCTGCCTCCATATCTTGGTGATTGTAAACAAAGCTATAGTAATCAGAACAGCATGGTACTGGCATAAAAACAGACACACAAATATCAATGGAACAGAACAGAGAGCCCAGAAATAAACCCACACCTTTATGGTCAGTTAATAGCTGACAGAGGAACAAACACATACGATGGGCTAAAGATAGTTTATTTAATGAATGGTGTTGGGAAAATTGGACAGAGGTGCAGAAAAGTGAAACTAGACCACCTTCTTACACTACACACAATAATAAACTATAAAATGGACTAAAGACTTAAATATTAGACCTGAAACCATGAAAATCCTAGAAGAAAACATATGTAGCAAAATCTCAGACACAGCTCATAGCAATATTTTATCAGATATATCTCCCTGGGCAAGGGAAACAAAAGAAAAAATAAATAAATGGGAGTACATCAAACTAAAAAGTTTTTACACAGCAAAGGGAAACATCAACAAAATAAAAAAAACCCACAGAATAGGAAAACATATTCATCAAAACATCTGATAAGGGGTTAATATCCAAAATTTATACAGAACTTATAAAACTCAATACCAAAAAAAAAAACCAATAACAACAAATAACCCAATTTTAAAATGGGCAAAAGACCTGGATAGACACTTCTCCAAAGAGGACATACAGATGTTGCTAATCATCAAAGAGATGCAAATTAAAACCACAATAAGATATCATCTCACACTTGACAGAATGGCTGTCATCAAATCAACAAACAAGTGCTGGCGATAATGTGCAGAAACAAGGACTATTTTGCACAGTTTGTGGGAATGCAGACTGGTGCAGCCACAGTGGAAAGCTGTATGGGAGCACCTCAAAAAAATAAAAGTGGATCTACCTTTTGACCCAGTGATCCCATGTTTGGGAATATATCCAAAGGAACTCCAAAACACTAATTGAAAAGAACATAAGCACCCCTATGTTAATTGTAGCATTATTTATAATCATAATTACATTATATTCTAAGGTACACAGTTTATGAGCAACTAGTATAGTTGAAAGACACTACATCTAGTGAAATCACTCCTATTTTTTAAAAACAATCATGCATAGGAAGTCAACTTTGGCATATAGCACATAGAAAATTTCACTAAAAATCTCTAGGGAAATGTCTTTGTGCTTATATTTTAATTCAGCTGTCTAATCTTATTAATCTTCCATAGAGGCTCAACTTTCCATTTTTTTGTATGAATAGTTTGACCTAATACTTGACAAAATTTGTGTTATTGGCAAATTTTGTGTTAATTCAGCTGTCTAATCTTATTAATCTTCCATAGAGGCTCAACTTTCCATTTTTTTGTATGAATAGTTTGACCTAATACTTGACAAAATTTGTGTTATTGGCAAATCCATCAAATGCTCAGAAGATGAAATGTAGAAGGGAAGGAGAAAGGGAAAGAAAAAAAGCATTCATTTCAGGGCAGAGATGGTAGGTTAATGACATCGTAAATGTACTTACTCCCTCTAAATTTCCAAGTGAACTATCATAGGTGAAATTGGAGTTTCATCTTATTTTGAGAAGTGATTCAGAAAGTTTGGTAAAAAATCCAAGAAGACATTTGAAAGAAATTTATGATCCATAATAGCAGTCTCTCAAGTACTTGACACAACAAAAGGGAGTAATAAAATGAATAGCATTGAGATGACAATTAAAGTAATGGTATAGTTTAGTAATAATATATGGCATATTTGGCTCCCTGTTATATCACTTTAAAAATCCAAAAGTATTCCATTTCCCACATAAAAGGAGCAATAACAGCATGTTTTTACTTAAAATGCAATAGTTATTTTAAAGAGAGAGCTCTTTCCTCAGTGAAGTAAAAAGGTATCAAATTCAGTTCTATATGTAATGTCATCACAAATTTGTCTGTGGCAGATTGTTCACAGACACTATGCAAGGCCTTCTCATCTCCTTTTTTCTTTATCATAGTCTGCCATTTTTCCTTACCACCCAAGTTTCATTCCTCCAGACTTTGTTCTACCTTTAGCTGCCAAGAGCCAAGTCTTTCCCTGTTGCCCAAGGCCATTTCCTTCCAGGTGTACAGGGAAGAAGGTGTAAGGTAAATCTTCAATGAAGAAATTTCATTTCATAGGATAGCAAGACACCAAAACAATTCCCTCATATTCCACAAAAGAGGCCTATGCACATTCTGTGAATGCTCTCCCCTAAATCCTCAAATGAGAATTATTTTTATACAATGTTATAGCATCCTTTATTATGACCTTGCCATCTTAAGTGGTAATCTGACTTTATATAGATCTCAAAAAGAAAGCTGCATTACCTGTCTACAAGAATAAATTAGCTAATCTGTGACACATACAAAGAGAGTACCCAGTTAGTACCTTCAGTTAGTAC